TTCTGGGTTTATTCAGGGTTTATTCAGGTTTTATTCAGGGTTTATTCAGGGTTTATTCGGGGTGTGATGTCTCGTCTCTCAGCGCCCACAGTGAACGCTGCTGCTCGTCCAGGTTGTGTGTGCGAGGCCCTGGGCTGCCCAGCTGGCACTGTCCTGCTGCTCTCTGGTTGGAGGCTGAGATTAGGAGCTGCTTTTAGACTCGTAGCATTTTTGTGTGTCTCCGGCCTGCCCGCTGTCAGTCCTGCTGGTGGCTGTGGTTTTGTGTACGTGGTGCAGAGACTCAGAGTCCGGAGGGAGGAGGCTCTGGAGATTGAAGGTTTGCGTTCAGGCCTGCCGGCTGCGTCGAGCCTCCCAGTTGTACCCGCGTTGCACCCAGTTTAATAATTGCCAATTAGCACATTAAGGCTACAGGACATTGTCTTTAAAAAAAACAGACTTGTTGGAGTGTGTTCAGCTGCTGTGGAGCAACCTGTCAGTGTCTCGATCTTTAGGATCTTTACTGAAGCTTTGACACCTGGCAGTTTGCACCTCTGTGTCTGACAACGGTGCGAAGCTAAAAACCTCCTTTCTTTGGGATTTGAAAATGAGCCACGTTCAAACAACATGATGGATTTAGATGCTGGTTACGACACCGGCTCCAGTTCATCCCAGAGGGGCTGGATGGGGTCGGGGTCAGACCAGTCAACTTCTTTCACAACAAACGAGGGAAACTTTGTGGAGCAGACTTTGTGCACGGCGGCATTGTGATGTTGAAACAGGAAAGGGCTTTTCCACAGCTGTTGACGAGTCGCTGCAAGGACACTGTTGTGCACGACATCGCCGCTGCAGTCGGGACGTAGGAGCCCAAAATACTTGTGTGTTCACTTTAATTTAAATGAAATTCTCAATAGCTGTAGTTGTTGCAGTGTTTGTCCATTAGTGTGGTTACTTTACTGACACAGCGATAACAGAAACGTCTCCGAGGACTGAATCTGAAGTATGCTGCTGCTCTTACGGCCTGATGATGCATTATCCTGAACAAAGACGGGAGCTTTCAGTTTGTTTTGAGACGTTGAGTTTGGTACTCTACCAAGACGGAGGAGAAAAATATATTCCTGGTTGCTAAGCAACATCCTTTTGTGTCCTTTGAGAGTCTGACGGTCCGTTCAGGTTCATTGTTGACATTTATGTGAAAGTGTTCAAGTCTCTGCTGCTGCTGCTTGTAGACGTTACCAACTAATAAAATAAAACACTCAGACGGGTTTCATCCTCCAGGACCGAACAAAGCACTCCGCAGTCGAGCTACCGGGCACTACCCAGACCAAACTACAATACTCTCTGTTGTGTCCTTGTTTGCTTTATTATTATTGGTATTATTATTAGTAGTATTTTTGGTATTATTGTATATTGGTTGTGTACGGTATTACTTTGTTTCCTGATACTACGTCTGTCTGAGTGACGTGAGAGAGGAAGACGACGAGAGAGAGATCAGCGGTGGGTCGCCCCTCGGCTGACCGGTTAGATGCGCAAGTGCGGATAATGAACGAAGCGTAGATAACAGCGGTATGTCCTCATGATATGTATGGTTTCTGTGAAGCAACAGACACTGTTGGAAGTACGAACCCGCCCACACGGGAGGACTCCCCCTCAAACTGAACTGAATCTCTCCAGTAAACTGAGTTTTATGTAAAGTGTCTCTGAGGTGGTCTCATTCTGTTTTGGCCACGGTCCAAAGTGAACCTGAAATAAAACCCTGTAGCTGTGTCTGAATGTTAGAGGAAGCACATCAAACCCTGGATATTGATCGTTGTACAGTGGCCATGGGACTGAACACAATCTGTGAGAGCGACGGTCCCAGTAGGGCAGGGAATCCAGTACCGAGCTGGTTTTTCTTGCTGGCTTTGGTTCCCGGTTGACCGAGCTAAATGCAGATCAGTGAGGCCAGAGAGGTTTGTAACACATCAGCCCCCAGAAACAGTCAAATATGATTAAGAATACCTGAAAATACCTGGTAGTGAGGTGAGATACTGCAGCAGAGGACACGTAAAGCACAGACAGACTTTAAGTTCCCACTGCTGGACTTCACAGTTGGATGAAATGCTGTTTTTCAGTCTTTCGTGTGTCTTCAGCGGTGGTGGAAACACACACATCTGTCACACAGCTGACCTGAATGCTGCCCTACCCAGCTCTCTCACACACACACACA